ACGAAACTTCTGTATCTGGGTGGGGCAACCTGGTCGTTCCAGGGGATAAGTGGCATATTGAAATCGCCACCCACTATCTTGTGCCGTGGGGGCATTTGGGAGATTTCAGTGAAGAGCTTAGTAAGTTTATTAATCTTCTTGTTGGATGTGTGTGGAGGGTTGTATACGCAACCGATAAGGAGGTCTAGGTGACCTCCTGTCGTCTGGATCCAGATGGAGTCTTCAGAGTCACCTATAGCTAGCAGTTCGAAATCAGGTGCACCAAAATCGTCCCGGACATAGATAAGACAACCGCCACCGCGCTGGTTGTCTCGTCCGTTACAGAATGCAGTGTAACCGGGGATACGTAGTAGGCTGTCAGAAGCATTTGAGGGGTGCCACGTTTCTGTGATGAGAACCAGCTGTGGGTATGAGAGCAGGATAAATGGGCCAATGAGGTGCATCTTGTGTGTAATAGATCGCGCATTAATAAGCAGCATACTGTAAGATTCAACGCAAGGAGAGATGGAAGAGTTCGAATGTGTGAGGTAAGTTGCACAGTAAGGGGTAACGGGTGTAGGGTACATGGAGGTGGTAAGAAATGGTGGAGAGTGTGATATGGGATTGTGATCAGGAAGTGGTTGAGGAGGTAGCTGATGGTATTCGGCCTCTAATGGGGCTGTAGTAATAATATTGAGTTTAGAACCTATCCGGAGGGCTGAAGCCAACCGTGGGGGGTTAGTTGTAGTGAGCATATGAGTTGTTGGAGGTAATAGAGGGCTGGTGAGAACTCTTGGTGGAATGAGCGAGGTGGGTCGTGTCCTGCTGCATCCCATAAAAAAGGGGCCGTGGATGGCATGGTCCGGATGTAGTGCTTGTCATCCGGATGTATTTTTCGTTCAGCGGGACGTATGGCCAGGGAGTGCGGGGTGGTGTTAATGGAGCGGTATAGCTTTTCAGAAGGGCGTCCTCTTTGGGAGGGTGCTATGTTCCCCACTGTTTCGAGAGACTGTGGGGATTGGTAACGGGGTTGTGCATTTGGTCTTTGGATGCCATAGCGTTTTTTGTAGGGCCGGCTGGGCGATGGCGTACCAGGCGGATAGTTGGTGGTCAGGGGAATCACTGCGTTGATGTAGCGCGGGCTGTTCATAGTTTTATTTTGTTGCAGTGACTGGTAGAACGTCCTCGGTTTTTGAGAGCCATGGTATTTGTTGTATTCCTGGGGCTTAGTAGCATTGTTGGGCGTCTCGAGTAGGTAAGGCTTGCGCAGTGGTTGGGCCGGTTGGGTCGAAATCTGCGTGGAGGGCGGCGTTTGGGATCGGAAGGATTTCGATCTCACGCGATCCACTGGTGCAAATGTTGTTGTGGGCTTATCGGCTGTCCATTTGTGCCATGAGGTCATTGCCTGGGTACGGTTATCTTTGTTATGGTGATGCATCAGCGGGGAGTGCATCCCATGACGAGGCGTGCCGTGTTTCAGCGGTTGACCTTTGTTGGTGGTCGGTCGTGTTGCGAGGGTGGTTACGACTTTGTACGAGGGGGAAGGAAGGGAGTTGATCATCGGGAAGTCTACATTGATAGATTCTGAATCGGTGTCACTCATGTCGGAGGCGTTATTGACTGTCTCGGCTTCTTGTATCGTTAGCGGGGGCGAATCTGGAACGTTAGTTGACTTTTTGTTTATTAGGGCTGTGGGGCTTGAGTCGGGATGTAATGCTGTCGTAGACGCGTGACGCAGGGGGGTTAGATCCAGATCCACGTTAGTGCTTGTAGTAGGGCAAGCAGTTGCTCTGACAACCGGCAATGAATCAGGAGGCTGTTGTCTTGCTTTGGTATTAGTAGCCGGTGGGAAAGCTCTTTGCAACGGCGTTAGATCAGGCTTTATAAGAATAGGCCCAATGTTTGCGTTTGTTCTTAAGGTAAATCGATTTGCTATGAAGCTTGTAGCCAGTTCTGGAGTTTTGAATGCGATAAGGATAGGGCAATTGCGACTGATCTTCGATTTTCTGAGCCGCTTACTCACGCACATGTCAGGAGGGATGTTACACATGGACGTAAGTAGGCGGGTGACTTTCTCCAAGGGAAGTTTGTCAGGAACGTTGAAGACGATCACGTTTCGGGCACGGCGGGTTCGCTCGTTTATCTCAGTAGTGATGGTAGTAAGAAGGGCGCCGGCATCTTTGAGCTCGTCAGCGTTGCCATTTGTCCTTATTCCTGCGAGTTGGGCTAATGGCATAAGTTTTGCTAGCTCTGTTTTGGTAACAGCCATTTCCTTTTTGAGAGCAACCATTTCAGTTGCGAGTGCACTGATTTTGTTAAGTGCATCTTTCAAAGGGTCTATAAGAAGGACACTGCAGGGGCGCAGTTTATTCAGTTTGTCTTTTGTAGCAGGACGTTTGGTCGCCTTATCTGCCTTTGCAGTGCATGAGGCAGAGCTGTGATCAACAGAAACTGCGGTATTCGAATGAGTACGTCTACTTTTGACCCGGAGTTTGGCTCGGGCAGCTTTACCTTTTATTCCATTGTTGTTAGTCATTATGGAATAGCACGGCTTCATGATTCGTGTTCCAGGAACACTGTTTTGCCGTATATAGGATCTAAAAAGCTTAGAGTATAGCACGTCTAGATATCGAGACAACGCGTCTAATTATTCTAATAAATAGCTGCTATATGGCGGAATAAGCAACAAAAAGTCGAAAACGTACAGTTTCTAACTTCGCGTGGTCAAGTGATGACTTCAGGCATCGTTGGAGGTCCCAGCGTATTCGAAAGCTGGCAAGTGCTAACTAAGGTCAGGTCAGGTCAGGTCAGATGGACGATAGAGGCTTCCGCCTAACGAGCGTCCAGTTCTTGTGCCGGTAAGTGAAGCGACCCTCGGCACTTCGACGTTGGATTGTCTCTTCTTGCTTCTGCAATGGAATGAAGCAAGAACAAGAGCAATCTCTGCACTTTCATATGCCAGCATCAAAATACACTACATATTAAAGTACAACTACAATAGTTCTGGAAAAAGGATGGACCAACAATTGTCTAAGCCCCATTTGAAGGCTTCTACGGTCTCAGACTCCACAACCGTTTCCTTATGCATTAATCGAGATTTTCTCCTTCTCTTTTTCTTTTTCTCTCTCTCTCTCTCAAGTTTTTGGCTGTTGTTTGATATCCCCGGTGTGGATGCGCTTGATGTGCATGTTGACAAGGTGCCTACCTGTCTATTACCCACTACCTCGTCCATACTGGCTCCAGGAGACAGTTGGTCGTTGCTGGAGGGGACAGGGTGCACGGTCCTTGTGGCCGTGTTAGGATCCAAGAGTGGTTCCATGCAGTCAATGTGGAGCGGACTACGGTCCAGCCACCGCCTTGTGTACGCTTGATTCCCAAATACAGCGTGCTTGTGTTTGCCTGTGAAGGAGTGTGGGCCGGCTCCGTTGATGAAACGTGGTTCCCATCCGCATGCCTCCCGGTCTTATTCCTTCGGGTTTACACTGGATATGGGTGTATGGTTGGAGCTGTGGGTGGTGCAGCGCAAGCCATCCATGGTCCCTCTGTAGGCGCAGGCGTCCTGTGGCTTGCCACAATGACAGGCAAATCCGAAACCGGATGCCGCCAACCGTATGTATTGCGGTACAATAGCGGAGGTGTTTCCCCACCTCTAGCTGACATGTATAATGATGATGGTGACGACAGACTTTGCCTCAACGGCTTGTTTTGGTAGAATGTTCCAAACACTACGAAGCATGATCCGTGCCTATCCCAGTCGTTCCCAAAGTACTTTGTGAGAGTACTAAACGCAAATTATTGGTTTTTCTTGGATGGTAGTGAAATACGATGAGCAATTAGGAGACCGTAAAACAGCAACCCAGAAGATACAATCATTCATCACATAAAAGTGAAACTGTCAGCTCTCTCGGCCTAACAGAGCACGCACTGTAGTCTGATGATCCCAGAGGCGCGGTCTCGGATTAATCTTACCAGAGGACCTCGCTGGTGCGAATAGCCTGAGACGGTTCCAGAGGTGATTAATCAGGCTCATGCGAAGAGCATGATTCTCTACGCTTTACGTGTTCCATCACATCAAATGGACATCTCGTTTGCTCCCGGAAGCCCTCTTTGTGATACCGTCTTGACTTCATTCTTAGCGGGCTTGATCACACCCCATACTTCGGATACGATGTCTCGCCTGTGTTTGACCCGTGTTCCAGACATGCCTACTGCCGCGTCTGTGTTCGTCTTGACTCTGAACCTGTGTTGACTTCGCCTTGCTTTCCGTCACAGGCTTTGGACCATTTTGTAGATCAACACCTGCTCCCACACCCTCATGGTCCAATACTGGCGCGCGCAGATACATTGTGCACCTATACTAGCAGATGTCAGGTCCGTATAACAAGGCCTCAACTAGCGCCCGCTTGAGTTTGATCACTCAGTTCTCTCGTAGTCTGCGTGCCTCTAGCTTCAGCGTAACCAATTGTTGTAAAACCCCCATCAAAGCGTGGTCGCTCTGCGCCGCAGGCGTGGTCGGGTTCGACAGCCATGCTGGCATTCTATACAGTGTATACTTGTCCGATAGGTTATTTACTGGGTTGGGATGGGTCGCAACTAACGGTACGTAGCTCCCTGTGTGTGTACACCACTGGATGCAGTTTGAATCCCTAAATTGAGTAGTCTTATGGAAGAACACGAGATTGTTAAAGAGGATTTCGATTTCATTATAGATGCAGCTGACTGGGGAAAAATATAGACGACGTCTATCGCTGTAAAATCGCTTTAGATTTGGCTCAGGAAATGGTTGTTCAATGGGAAAACCAATCTTATTGGAAGCGGTGACGCGACGGACAACGAAGACAATGGGATTGCATTATTATGAGTGCACTACTTTGATGATTAAAGCTGGTCACCTTCGTGGTCCGTTTAATTACGATGAGGAATATTCCCAACTCCCGGTTTCCCTAGCGTTCATCTGCTGGAACGATTCGACCAGTATTTCAAAGGGGCCAAGAGAAAGAGGTATCGAAAACTAAGTCGATGCAGGTATACCACGTGTATTTAAGCCCCATCACAGTACTAGTTACATTGCATGTACATAGATGTAGAGTGGGAGATGAGTCGAAAACTCGAAGGTGACTCAAAATGTATCATAGATTGGCAACCTTATGAAGCCCGTGAAAATTTGGACGAGTCCATGCAACTAAGAAGAAAAACGCGATCTAACGACAAATGAGCTGAAAACGGTATTTAACATGGCGGAGCACGTGAAAGCGTTCTGGAAAGGGATTATGTACAAAAATCTCCGGAAAAAGATCTGCTCACAGGAGCTTAATCGACGTTCAGGAGATCACGATAAACACTTGTGTGGCGAAAGTGGTACACTACCAAGGTAGAACAAAGAATAAATCAGACGTTTAGATGTCGCTAACGCCGGGGGAGTGGTAGATGCTTCAAACAACGAAACAGTGCCATGGCAGTGCGTATGGAGGCCGTGTAACTCTTATCAGCGGGATCAAAAGCCTCGTTAAGAAATGCCAATAAGAAGTATGACAAGATCCTGCCTGACAATTCACATTTGACTTGAGAAATGTTAGTCGAGGGGAAGGGGAAGATGAAATTAAAAAATAATAAATCTGATATTAGTGATCACGTTCAGTTGTATAGGCCATCCGTTTTTGCGGTGTCGTCCGGTGTGGATTTGGAACAGTGGGACACTCCTGGGTGGTTTCGCCTGGGATCACTGGATGGTTAGATGAATTTGTGCGGGAGAGATTGTGGGTAGGTTGACAGTTGTCCATTCTTGAGTGAACATGTGGAAGATGTGCTTGCTGATGTGCCAGTGACACAGGTGGAATAGGTGCTTGGACACGGCGAACATAATAGGAGCCTTTGGAAGTCATGTACCTCTTCACGTATGCAGTGACCCGTGCCTGGACCGAAGATGTCACCTCAGGTGAAACAGTTGGAGCGAACAACGATGTTGAACTAGCCGTCTGAGCGTTGTGCAGTTTTTGCACCTCTTTCAGGATAACGGATTGTGAGAGCTGAAGTAATAGAAATGAAGCATTCAACACATTTAATAGGCTAGTAGATAAGTGGAAAATCGGATGTGTACCACCGACTGAGACGGCAGGGTTGGTGTTCAAATTCGTTGCGGCTTTCAATGCCCCGCGTCATAATTAGCTATTTCCACACAGATAACTGAGCATCAAGCATTTTAAATAGATAGTCTGAGTAGGAGACGACAGCAGACGTGCCATTGGCTCCGACTGTGAATCATGTCCTGTAGCCTATAATGCGGGTCACGTGGACTCCAGCCTGGAACTCGAGACAGACCAACGGCACCTAGTTTGGTCATTAGTGACCTCATGTCCCGATGTCAAGTTTACTTTTGCCCACGTCGGGGCTCGCGCCACCTTACTTCTGGCGTACAAAACAAGGCTCTCCGCGCATACGCGCCCAAGCTAGCGCAAATCCCTCAATGCTATCTGTCATTCTACGGAACTAGCCTGATTATCACCGCCTAACCATCGCCTACGTACATCAACAGTATCAAGTCCCATTAAAAGAGTAAGATGGTTCTCACTGTGGCCCTGTAAACATGGTCTTTCAGACCGACCGAAACCTCGTTCCGATGGCACAGATGTCGCAAGTTCAAGGAAACAATTCCAGTCTTTGTAATATGTGCGCTGCCTCCAGCATACAGGCGTTGAGGTGCTGTGTGGTGAAAAGGTAACTAGTCTTGGTGATGCGGACGATTTTTTCCTCTTTTTAAGGGTGTTGGGGCAGCCCAGTTGACCCGGAATAACTTTTAGTGGTCCCGTTATTTGACATCTAAAGTGTAAAGCGTTGTTGCAGGACCTCCAGTCAGTTGCTATTCTTTTGACCCTTGATAACGAGTAACGCTAGGTAGCTTGTCAATTCAAAAAGATGGGCGCACCACCACTGAAGTCAGCGCACATATTGCAATGGTTATGTGTCTCTCTTTTTTAACTGGGCCGTCTCAACATCGTTAAAAAGCAATACAATATCGTCCGCATAATCAAGATCAACTAGTTTTTCAGCACGCAGCACCTTAACGCCTGCGTCATGAGGTTCCCCACAAGGAAACACACACAACTAAGTTGAATACAAGTGGGAAAATACGGTGACTGATAAACGTCACTTATTGTTGGGGGGCATTCGATAAGTCATTGCAGACCCTGATGCGACCTGTGGTGTTCGAGTACAAAGCACGTGAAATGTTCACATTTCATGGGAACACCTTCCTGCATAAGTATTTCTAACAGAATGGATCGATCGACTGTTGAACGCACTCTTGAAGTCGAGGAACACAGATATGGTCGGCTTGCGGTACGTGTAGCGCTGCTCCAGCAGCTGACGCAAAGTGAATATATAATCAATACAAGCCTGTTGTGGGCGGATACCAGCTTGCTCTTTCCTACTTTGGGATTCCCGTTCCGCAGTGAAGCGGCAGACGAGAACCAAAGTGTTAGGCCTATACTCCTGTAGTTAGCGCTCGTCATTTACACTGGTGAACAGAAAAGCAGTGAGGCACAGGACGAAGATCATATTACTATTTGGCTTTCGCTGGATACACTACTTGTCCTGGAAACACCGGCTTTCATGACAATGGCTGACACCACAAAAAGTCATAGGTTACTGATACATTATGTTCTATCGAGTAACGGAAACACCACTCGACATCCTAATTCAAATCGAAAAATTTCAACAAGAAGCAAATAAGAGAATGAGTAGTCAAAATCTCTAGCACAGAGAATCTGACACAAAAGCAACGGTTACATATGGAGAATGCAGGCTAAAAATGGTCGGAGTACTTTGAATTTGTGGTCATTAATAAGAAGAACTCATGCATATTTTAAGCACGTATTCGTAGAGCTGAATAGTGCACATTTTCGATTAAAAAATATTGGCAAATTCACAAACGGTGGAAGAAAGGAAAAGGCATATCATGCGGAAGCTTCGCTGCTACGTGACCAGCAATCGTCGTATGCGAATTAGTGATATTGTCAGGCCGCCTGCAACTGTGCAGGTCCGAATCGGTGTACTGTGGATTGCAAGTCGGACGCGTTGCGCACTTAGTCGATCACATGTGGCCGTCAGTAGGAGTAAAACTACCAAACCGATTACGGGAAATCAGGTGAGCATAGCGTAGCGCCAAACAACACCCCAGTTGAGAGAAACACGAAAAACCATGACAGATAATCCGACAACTCACTTTTCTGGTCAAGTAATACAAATCTTCTTCGTTCATAATACGTCCAAGTTTACAACGTGCATCCCGAAATGTGCGCAGGACATTGTGTACGAGGGTAAAAAGCTAGGGGAAAAGAAGAATTGAATGTGAAAGCCACGTATTGTGGGCAGCGGATGAAAAATCGATATTGGACAGAGGAATAAAAACAAGTAGGACAAATTGTAAGACATAATAAGCGCTTCGCAAAATTACAAGCCCGGTACATAGCTACCGTTATGCACAGAGAGAGCATTACAAATATGTGTCCATCAGTCAAAGACCAGTAGCCTAATGAAAGATAAAGAAAAATCAAATTCGACAGGTAGAAAATATTGCGGCGATGATTACTTATTTTACAACAGAGTATAATCAACGGATAAAGCCAAAATTATAGTAAAATGCTATGAACACTCCTCTCCGGCAAAAATCCCTATTATGACGTTAGGTATGTTTCTTCATTGTGCCATCACCAGTTGCGGAAACAAGCTGCAAGTCGATTTGACGCACTCAACATCAAGTTGAACTATCTGCGACGCAACACCAAATCTGCATACCACTTCGGTCCATGCAAACATGCTGGTCTTTAAGTCCGGACAGCAATGTTTCCACAATTAGACGAGCACGATGTGCATTTTGTGGAATCCGTTGTTGGAATCAGTTGCTGGGGCCACAGAATATCATATAAAACTCGAACCCCGTCGGAATAATTGCTGTTCAACATACTACCCATTAAAAACAATACAAAGCACACAGTATTCGTAATAGTCGACCATGGATTCGGCGGTCCAACTGAATGTTGCAAATGGGAGAATCAAGCTCTACGTCAATTCGTGGTAAGCTGTTATTTTCCTAATGAAAACTGAATGCATAGATCCAATGCGTGAATCAAAACTATAGTATTCTGAAGGCTGTATAATGGGAGAGTAAAAATTTAAATCTGCACACCTCCACGAAAAATAATCAAAACTCTAAAAAAGTATATATGAGTTGTCAACAAAGATAACAGGTCAGAGTCGAACGTGAAATCGTAAAAAAGCGCACAAACCCCAGTAACACATAGCAACACCGTATATTCTGTTTGTGGAGGAGGAACTCATGGTTTATAGTGTCAAACGCTTTACGGAAATTGATGCACAGCACATCAACAGACTTCCCCCTACTTCGTGGCTGAAACCATTTGCGTACGTAAGGAGGAATTTGGTAACCCATGAGCGGTTGTAGCAGACCATCCTTCACTATATTTTCTGATACCTTGGTCAGACAGGCGTAGGACATAATGGCCTGTAACTGTGCACTTTGCTGCAGTCACGGCATTTCCAACACGGCTCCCTTACTGAGCACTTTTAGTCGGTAGACAGTGAACCTTCGGACAACGACCTGTTGAACAGGTCAATCAGTAATCAAGGGGTGAATCCCGTCTTGTTCAGTAGGAGTAAAAGTATCAGTGTGGCGAGTATTTGATACACATCCTTAATACCACAACCCAGGCTTTCGAGTTTGGTAACAGCAGTACAGGTCGAACTCGGTACAAACACCTGGTCATTTGCAAATACAGAAGTGAGGTTTCTGTAACGCCGCCCTGGCTCTGCTCCCCATCGGGTGCTCAGTGTAACCCAGCAGGGTGAAACAGAGGACAAGACTTGTCAGATCGGTGCATTAAGGGCAGAGGATGATTATATTTATAGGTCACATGTCTTCGCCTCGATCACGTGAAAGCAGCTCCACACCTTGTAGTTTGCGCCCAGTGATCGTAGTTTCCATGAATACATCGAATACGAAGTTAAAAAGGTAGGGTGACAACGGGCATCTTTGTCCCACACCGCTGGAGATAGTGAAGGGCGGTGAGTTTTACATAAGCCCTCACTCTGCCCGAACTATGCGCGTACAGCGCTCCTTTGATTTTAAACATTTACAATATACACCATTCCTGAACAGGCAATCCAAAGGACACAACGATTCATCGAATAGAAGGCACCTCTGGTGTTGAGGAACACGACTAAGGTAGGTCGCCAGTAAATATAGCGGCGTTCCAACAAGTGACGTAATGCGAAGATGCAATCAATACAGCCACACCTTCGACGAAACAGCTTGCTTTTCCCGAATCTGGCTTTCAAGAGTGTTAGGAAGTCTAGAGAGAACAACAGTCGTAAGCAAGGCCATGGGTAGCAAATTGATTTCTCTATGACTGTCGCATTTCGAACGGGATCCTCCCTTGAAAATCGGCCCCAGTCTGTTGGTACAGTCTCCTTTCTCCACACCGGCTGTAAGTTGCGCATACCCCCAAAAGAGCAGGCCCACCGAAATTGAAAGTGAGCTAGAGGAAGTCCCTCTGCTCTTGCGGCTTTCACTAATTCAACCATCTGATCTCACGTTCGACTTATGCGCTAGGCGGCGGATGCAAGGAGACGGTCCAGAGAAAATGGCAAACAATGGCCGATAAGGAAGATGGTAACTCTGGCTGAGGAAACTGTTCCACCTAACGCTCCAAGCGTATTGTCAAGCTGGGGATCGATTCTCCAAACTCGTCACCTATTATCTCGCTAGCAACAGAGCTCCTGCTGCCGGTTTTTCGTATCAGACGGTATTAATTGGGATGGTTACCAAGAACAGCGGCTGCCTCCATCTCCGATGCACGTCGACGCCAACAGACTTCGTACTCTCTCCAGGCTAGCATGCAGACTTGATCTGAGTCTAATTGAATAAATAAATAAACGTTTATTCTCGGCAGTGCGAGACACCTCTATCAAGACATGATCAGCGAATCACGGTTTTGTGCAAACAATAGACACAGTGATTGGAGAAACGTACAGACTACAAAGCATTGTTTGGTAGAAAAAGAACGAAAGGACACATCGAGTGATATTGAGAACGAGGCCTAAGGATTAAATTTATGGGCAATATCGGGAAGACAATAGGAAGGGACAAGAGCCAAAACAGATTGAAAGAAAAGAAGGAAGTGTAGTCAGAAAATTAGTGATACAATACGGTCATCCGTTGAACCGTCCTCTTGGGATGCACTTCAAGGCGTAGAAGCCCCTCGAGACGTTACGCTACCAGCCAGAAGACATCAGCGAGTATACAAGAGTTCTAGATATTGTGTGGAGATCCAATGTCCAGGATGGCAATTTGATTTGCCACATGAAGACATGTCTGCTGATAGCATGACAAATATGCAACCAGTGATCTTCAACGGTGTTCAGTGGGCGCTCACTCAGCCCGGATGTCAGCGTACTTTGACACGCATGTAGAACACCTAGCTTCGTCTGTTGGCAAGCATCCATGCGCCCACAGCGCCGTTACGGATATCCGCAGAAACACACTAGGTCGGGGCAAACAGATGAGTGATCGGAGCCCACGCTCGTGCTCCAAATCGAACGAGTTTTGGGCGCAGCCTTTCCAGCGGTAAACGACCGCGATGTGATCGACTTGAGTCCATGGCTGGCCCGAGGCTGGTGAGCGCCAAGCCATTCTACTGCGGGTGTCGAAATTTAGTGCTCGCGAGAAAAAAATGAAGATCTTCACACAGGTGTAGCAACCGCTCATCGTTATCATTACGGGAGCTTACACCATGTTGGCCGCCCAAATGCAACTCATCAGTGGACAGTTTTCCTACTTGGGGGTTAAAATAACCAGCAAGCGTCCAACCTTTTCCTGTAACTGAGGAGCGCGCTCAATTGGTGATATAAGTCGTCTTTCACCGAGTCAACGCTACAAGCACCGCTTGTACCCTCACGACTTCGATGCTTTGAAAGAGCCAGTCAATCTGATAGCATAAATCCCGCTGTTCATTGGGATACAATCGAACAGAGCAGCTTCAGCCGGCGGCTTAGAGCAATGCCTACATTAGCTTGATCGGCATTTGAGGCCGCATCATCTCCGAACAAGCGCAGTGTGAAAGTGTGGAGGATCGCAGGGTAATTACATAGCTAGAATTTCGCGGGTGTTTTTGACAAAGAGCAGATATCCATCGACAGTGTCTCTCGTGTTCAAGCAAGTACTACCTGTTGGCCAATCTGTAACAAAGTGCCAACCTTGAGGCATGCCAGCCTTTGGGGTGGATCAAGGGCTCCAAACAAAAACGGATGAACTGACGCCTGCTAGTTTGAACATGGACTTATCGACCAGACCGGAGTCTTGCCCTGCGATTGTGTGTAATACGAAACTAGAAGATAAACGATTACTGAATTGGGATGGGGGAGGACTAAGAATTAGGGTAGGATGAAAACAAGTAGGATAAAAGTGAAGTTGGAGCGGGACGATAAGGATGAAAAAGCACAAAAGAGAGAAGACGGGAAAGCTTGAGCAGTAGTATGTAAACCTCTATGCTCCTTGCTCGGTGCAACAGATAGGGCACCGTTGATTATCCTTTGCGACGGTCAGAGCATCAATAAATTGTTTTAAGGGGAAGTCATAGTGTGATATTGCGTGGGCATAGTACTGTAAAGTTTCCCACGCCTAGAAAGGAGAACGACTAGGGTTCTCAACCAGTGGTTCAAAAACCTGACCACAAGGCAGCGGGCTACAGAGTCCGTTTTATGGAGTAAGTGATCACCCTCATTCCAACCCCCAACCTGAAAAGCAAGGAGACTGAGTTTGTCTGGCTTCAAAAAATTGACCAATCTAGTATGAGTGGCTCTGAAAATGCAAAAGCACCACGCGGCAAAACCCAGTGGATCACTGAGGCAGGCAGACGATCGCACCACGTTAAGGTCCAGTGAAATTCAAGAGACCGAATGTAGTAATGACTCCGACTGCAGCCTGTGTGACAAGGTCTCCAGCTGGTGCAGACCATTGCGATGACCGCACTTACGAAGACGGCATGCACCAGAATGACCAAGTGTCTCAGTCAGTTTCTTAATGCCACGCTATCGGCAAGCCATCTTGCGGTTTTGCACAAGTTGGTGCAGCGATGGCACGCAAATGAAGTAGGTTAGCTGGCTTAGGGTGTGCAAAGTCCAAAAGAACATTGGTTTCCTGAACCAGATGAATTGTTGGCTCTTGATGGCTCAGTGATTCTATTCCCAGCTTTTGCCACCTTTCGAAATGATAACACGCTTTTTACACTTTAAACCGCAACTTGCTCAAACGAGCATCGTGATTTAACTAGCTCTGTTGCACACACTTTTCTCAAGGCCAAGCTTTCCTCAGTCTACAATTAACATCACTGTAACCGTTAGTTTTCCGCTCGCCGACCTAGATGTGAATCCTGTCTTGCATACTGTTCTGTCATTTAGAACCACGGTTACAAACTCTTCTATCCCAACCGTTTACTGCCCAGACCGTGCTTAAGACCTAGGTACATAGCCCGAAGGAGCAAACTTTATATACAACTCGTACGACGTAATTCGATTTAGCGTAGCTTCGTTGTTACACGGTGGACATAACCTAGCCAACGTAGGCGGTCAATATTCAGCAAACATTCGAGTGAAGCATCAGACAGTTTCAAGTCAAGAACCGACTGATAGACCTCATCATGGCACTTCAGATGTTCTCACCAGACGTAAGCGATACTCCGCAAAGCACCAGTGGTCAAACACGGCCAAGCGTTTAACATCATCACCGCGAACTGGCCAGGTCTATGACTCACACAGAGATGTGGAGGTATATTGCGTGTACTTTACTGGAACCCCGTTGTTTAGCAAAAAACCCCAAGGTGCAGGTAGATCAACCGAGTCGAATGCAGTACGGATGTCTAGGAATGTAACGAAGGTAGGCCTCTGGTAAAAGTGGTGATGTTCCAGAATAGGCCAAAGCGTAAATAATTGATACACAACCCGCTCTAAGCATTACTTGGCGCCCACCAGCCTCGAACCAGCTATGGACGCAAATCGATCATATTGCGATAAGTTACCGATGGAGAGGCTGCGCCCAGAACCGTCTCTCGATTTGGAGCACATGTGTGGACATCGACCATGCACTTGTATGTGCTGACTTACGGATGCGTTTTGGCGAACGCCCATGACGACGCTGTGAGCGCATTGTCACCAGCCAACTGACGAAGCCTGCTGTTCTGAATGCCTATCAAAGTATGCTCACATGTGAGTAAAATAAGAGCTCACTGGCCTCATGTTCACCAGACCTTACTAGCAGCAAGCAAATCCTCATGTGGTAAGTCTAATCGCCAACATGAATATTGGGTCTCTTCGCCGTCTCTGGAACTTATTGATGCTTGCCGGCATATTCCAGCTGGAAGCGAACACAATGAAACTCGCAAAGAACTCCGGGCAAAACTCTGTCCTAGCCTGAAAAGAGACCGCGAATCCTGGTGGTCTCATGGTGCATCAGAGAGGAAAATGGTCGCTGCCCTTGGTAACCATCAGGCTGATACGGGAAACGGGCAGCAGAAAACCTGATGTTAGTGGAACTATACGTGACGAGAGTGGACAGCCTATCCACAACTTATCAAAACGCTTAGAGCGTTAGGCTGAGCACTTTAAAAGGCAATTTAATCGGTCGGAATGGTTAGATATCTCGCCAGCCACTGACCGCCCCACTCCCTGGGCTGTCCCTTTGGATCCACCCTCTCGCTCAGAAGTCGAAAGTGAGATCGGACTGTTGAAGTTAAATAAAGCCGCGAGACCAGATGATCTACCTCCAGCCCTCTTCGAATTCGGGGCACCGGCTCTAATAGATTATTTACACGAGTTACTAATGAAACTTTCCCAACCGATTGGAGCCGCTCCGTCATAGTTCCAACTTTCAAGGAAGGCTCACAATCGGAATGCGGCAACCATAGAGGATTTCGCCTGATCTCCATCGCCTCCAAATTGCTGGCCTCGGTAATGCTCCACAGACTCACCGTGAAGGCCAGATTCGTGAGGAGCAAGCCGCATTTCGTCGTGGTCGAGGATGCATCGATCACTTATTCACATTACGTCAGTTGTTGGAGCACCGTCACACATATTGGAGGCCCACCGTTGTCGTGTTTGTCGACATCAAAGTTGCATTCTATTCAGTGAATCGATGTGCCCTTTGGGACTGTCTGCTAAGGAAAGGTGCGCCCGAGAAGTATGTAAATATTGTGCGAGCGCTTTCCGCGCATAGCTCGGGCAGAGTGAGGGCTTACGTAAGCTGTCGCCGCCCTACAATATCTCCAGCGGTGTAGGGCAAGGATGCTTGCTGTCACCTTTCCTCTTCAACTTCGCTATTGACGAAGTCATGGAAATCGCGTTCACAGGACACGACTTAGAAGGTGTATATCTGCTCCCAGGTGAACGATTTCTTGAATTGGAGTATGCTGCCGATATTGCTCTCATCTGTGACAGCTCACAAACGTTCCAAGCTGCATTGGGCAGGTTAGCACTGGCTGTCACCCGTTTCGGGCTATGCTTTGCAGCCTTCAAGTGCAAAGCTTTCCTTTAAGATTGACGGGGACCGCCTCTTGCACTGACCATTAGTGGGGATCAGCTAGAAGTCGTTCAAAAGTTCAACTACTTAGGTAGTTATATCAGCGCCGTTGGAATCGAAGACGAGGTCACAATACCGTATAAGGAAAGCTCAAGGTGCTTTTTCTAACCTCTTTCGCCTATGGCGCCGGCGCAACGTCACTTTCTCCCTGAAGGGTAGAGTATACAATGCAGCGGTACGTTCGACCCTAATGTATGGTTGTGAAACCTGGCCCCTTAGATCAGCGGACATAAAGAGGCTAGTCACGTCCGAGCACCGGTGCCTTCGCAATTTAGCTCACATCTGATGGGAACACCGCGTGACCAATGGGCATGTTCGACGCCTTGTTTATGGCATAGAAAAAGGAAATGAACTGATCAGCACCGTTTTTTCACGCACCAGGCTCCGGTGACTGAGCGACGTGTTGCGCATGCCAGCTCATGCGTTGTTTACGCGCCAGGGGTGCGAATGGAAGAACAGGAGAGGTGGCCGAGCGATGACTCGGTCAAGAGGAATGAAGGCCCTTAGTTCGAAGTTGGCATCGGTTGGAGCCTCTCGACTCTCTAGTTCGGAACTAAAGGACGATGAACACGTTTGGCTGGATACACTTGTTGACATGGATAAGATCCGACCTCAATGGCGTTTGTGTTATGAGTTTGTTTATCTGTCCCCCTCCGGTTACCCTCACCCTCCAACCACGATCTCAATACATAGCCTTATATAATTTTGCATAGTAAATTTTTTTGCTGCATATTATCTGGTGGGTAGCTTCCCGGAACGATGTCCATCCGTTACCGGTAGCTTAGCTGGCTTGCACCTGTTTAATTTTTTCCGTTCTTTTCTTTTATGTATTGCGGCACAGTAGCTGAGGAGCTTCTGGATCGGACGTCTATGTAAAGTTCTAGTTGCAGTGGTCGTGAGTGAGCAATCTAAGCAATTGCAAAATTTAGTCGCGTTGTACATATGGTCTTTGCTTAGAACGCACGTATAATGTTGAGAATTTAAATACACTTGTGCATCGAACATTACACGTTCTGAAAGAAGCTACTTGCAGACCTTATGGACGTCGAGGTGCCCGGTAACGGAACACTAATGGAGTATATTGTTAGAAACACTCCGTGTTGTGATCCCATCCTTGACTGTGGTTCGCATTGTTAGTCATAACTGGGCTCTGATCATTTTATGGTTTACTGCCGATTTGAACTTTACGGGAAAGCGCAGAAAACGATTTTCTCCTTTGACAACTGAGAAATTGCCTCGGTCTATTAAGAGGCAACAATGCCAGGACGCGGCGTATAAAGCTTACAATAGCATTGAGTTCGTGTAGAACAGAATCTGTGCTGACATCCACAGCACAGTGGCCACTGATCGCAATACTACCAATCATCAGCAAAATGGACACCGGAAATTTGAAAGGTTAGTGAAACACTCCAGATCGCGAACAACCGCCGCTCAGCATTCAAGAACAGCTGACAATGACTCTATACCTACCGTGGCAGCCCATGCGCTTTGCTATCTATGATCACCGTTTGTGTATGTTCCAATGTTGCATGTTTTAGTGATTGATAAGAATGCAGGAAATGACGGTATCACCTCACAATCGCAGAAGCAATTGCGATCAAGTAACTCAAGTTGGAACTGTACAAACAGCATGTGTAACCCTACCGTGACCCTAGCCTGGTCAGCTTACTTCAGGCATAATGGTCAATGGTAGTGGGTCCAAATGGACATCGATTGCCACTGTTCATCCGGTCGTAGCATTCAGGATACAGCGCCGCATCGCTAGTAATATCTTCTATACTAATGATTATGAATCTCTTAATTGTAATTACCTGATGAGATTTATCGAAATTTCTTCATAGTCTTACTTTTGACATCTGAATGGGCATAACTTATGAATTTTTAGGTTTAGTATAAAGTGTCTGAACTAGGTACATGAACAATAATCAACAAAGAATGACATTGCGAAATGAATAGCGGCTTTATCCACTCTATCATAAGCTATTTGTTCTTCGCAATTCTGTGAGACTATCGGATCATATAGACAATGCAAAGTCACGTTTTGTCGAAAAAGGAATTGTGTATACATAAATGCATACATGTGTAGGTAAATATAGGCCAGTAAAACTGTCCACCAACCTCTATGGCAAAACTTTGTTCGGCTGCACCCTGGGGGGCATCTGGTCTCCCCGCTAGCTCGTGCAAAAGATCGGTGCATTGCCGTTCAAGAATACGCTGTCGCAGTCTGGTGTACATCTGGAATAGGTATGTACAAATAAAACGGACCAGGTAATGGCAGAAGCGATAAAGTCAAATGAAATCACAGACATTGGACAAGTTGTGCAGTCGGTTTTCTTAATAGCGGTGGTGTTGTGCGGCTAGGTATACGAATCTAAGCGAGTAGGTGGGTGGTCAGGTTTCGAAAGGCCGGAAAGTAAGTGACGGTGGTGTGAAGACTCAGTCACATCAGACGTTGCAGTCATTTCGGTTATCCCCTCAGGAGAGGACAGTTCAGTGCAGTACGTTGAGTTGCGTGTCTTCCAGCTATCGCAAATAAGACAGTGTTTGCTGACAAGATAAACGAAAGGATAGACAAAATACTGATGGGGTTTACTGATCCATTGGATTAGGGCTGATCAATGTTGGTGCATACATTAAGCAAGAGAGGGAAACCACTCAGAACGAGTAGGAGAGGATAGGGGCCACACACCAAGAGTTATTTTCTAGACCCGACTGATGTAGGAACGGAATGGACCTAACGGAATGGACAGAAGCGCGGAAAGCACACTGAGCCGGAGTGTGAAGAAATTCCGTTTGAGGAGCGGTCAACAGCACCATAGTCATCACCAAGACTCTATGTGTTGATTCAGTTCAGTACAGTTCAGTTAAACAACTGTAACACAAGCACCGAAGTGCGGCGGGTCCAGATGACACGATCGACATGGCCAGGATAATAATGATAAGTAAGGTTGAATACAAATAGAAAGTGAAGAGAATGTATTCAAGGTAAATTAGAATAATCAGGATGGAATTAAAAGTATCAGCTAGATGCGAGAAATCGAATGCAAGAACGCCACGGACTGCGTCATGTCTGAAAGGGATTCTAACCATTGTTGTGGACTATTCCGGGGTCCCCATTCACGAAGACGGCAGGCACCAGCCTGACCAAGTCTCTCAGTCAATTTCTCCATGCCCCTATGCCACGCCACCGAGTGGTCATCTTAAGGTTTCGACCAACTTGGCGCTGCAACGGTGTATAATGCACGTCGAGGAAGTCGGCCAACGGGCATATGGATGACATGACTTTGCCAATGTAAGCGGTCAATATTCAGCAAAACACTCGAGCGAAGCACCAGAAAATTCTTTTGACAAAAACCAACTGGCGAACCTCAGCATTGCTCATCCGATGTTCCCAAACGTGAGCAATACTCCGCAAGCACCGATGGTCAAACACGGCCAAGCGTTTAATGTTTAACTGGCTAGGTCCATGATCCATATAGTAACACCATAGTTAACGAAGCGTTATATACCCTACCCTTTATTATCAAGCTGATGTTCCGCCGTCTCCACCGATGGCTGGGCGTCGGGAAAGCCACACGAGCCTTGCTGATATGCGAAGTGACCATTTCAATGACGTGATCACCAGATAACACAGCTACCAAAATAAATGAGCTGATCTACCAGCGGCTGTTCGGTGATAGCTAATACGGGCGGCTTATCGGTCCAGTCTTGCAACCGCACCATGTATTTTAAGGGTGCAAAGCACATGCTGAAGAGTGCAGCGCTACGTGTCAGCCTATCTAGTAGCGCTTGCACAGCCACCGCGTCAGATCTAAGGAGAGATACGTCGTGCACATACCCAAGGTTTGTCAAGCAGCCACCTGGCAGAACTCCCACTCCGAAATAGTTTGAAAAAACAGTATCATACATCATCATTACGAACACAAAGTTGAAGAGGAAAGGAGATATGGAAGAAAACCCTGGAGAATCCCACTTGTAGTGGGGAACTCAGGAGAAAGCTTTCCGTAGACCCTTACCCAGCCTCTGGAGTCAAAGTAGACTTCAAAATGGATAGGCAGCGCCACAAACTAGCGCGCTCAACAGAGTCGAAGGCGGCTTTCGAGTTAAGGAAATCCAATATGGTTGGTCGCCTGTGCGCGTCTCTGCTCTGAAGAGTAAATATGTGGTCAAAGCAACCACGATCAGGGTGGAAGTCAGTCTAGTTTTCAACGATTCGGTTTTCCCGAGGACCACTAAGTCATCGAAGAATGGTCCCTGTGAGAAGTTTGGACGCACTCGAAATAAGGCTAATATCCCGATGATTTTCGCACAAGTGCGCCGACTTTTCTTGAAGATGAGCACCACAATTGACATTCGCCAGTCCTAAGGCACTTCTTCAGTGTCTCAAATCGTGTTAAATAGAGAAGCAAGTCCAGCCAATAAGAGTCACCATCTTGCAGCAAAGATAGAGGTCGTCGGGTCCGGGAGCCTTGTTTCGTTTCAATACGGAAAGCTTATGTCGAATCTCTTCTAAACTGGGAGATGTGACATCAACTTTCCAAGTCGGTTCAGGTGATCTAGCAAGTGTCGGTGTCGCAGTAGGCTTGCTGAACTGCTTTTCATAATGCTGCGCTAAACGGGCTAGTCGACGACGCTAAGAACGGATCATCACTCGTTCATCATTCGCAAGTATCGTCTCACTAACTGAGGGCATTCTCGGACCCGTGTTCCGGATGAATAGAAATAGCATTCGGCTGTTCCCAATAACGCTGGATTTCTCCATCTCACGGGTAATTGCCACCCACCTACTTTCGCGGTCAATTCGAAGACTCTTTGCGATACGCAAGTTCAGAGAGTTACGGGCACGCTGAAATTCATTTCCCGTTGGTATCTGTTTCCGTACTTCGATCAGTTTGACCGAAGCCTCAGAGATCCAGTTCCAGTTACGACGTCTCAAGTTTGGGTAAGGAAGACGTCAAAAGCTTCCTTTATGGCACACTAAAGACGATTTCAGTCAGCGTTCTGCTCACCAATCTCATTCATCAATGATAATTGGTGGGCCAGTTCGTCAGTATATTGTTGAACTGCAGACTGGGAGTTCAAGTTACGGGCAAGAATGTCATAAGTAAGGCGCTTCTTTGAGGCGGGAAGAGTGAGCGACAGGCTTGAGCGTATTAAGACATGGCCAGAATCCAGGCACGTGCTGCAAATTGACCGACCGTCTTGGACTGATGTGCGCCATCTGTAGCTGATGTAAATATGGTCAATTTTGATCCAGGTCATCGAAGAATTCGGTGGGCGCCAGATGACGCGACGCCGTTGTATTTCTGTTGACAGTACAAATAACCGATACAGCCACTTGGGTCACGGTCCGGCTACCTCCAAAATCCGAAGACACAGGGCCTTTGATAAAACATATATGCAGCACCGGGAAGACAGTATATACAGCCAAAATACAGGGTCAAAATAAATAGTTCATGAGATAATGACCTAACTGAAAGCTCCTGATTTCTGGCAACTACTAGATGCACTCACTGGATGGCTTCAAAGTGGGTCATTCACATTGGTCCCAATCAGCTGCAGGAAAGTTGCAAACAATCTTCTCCGGCCTCCTTTAGAGAGAGCTGACTTCGAGGGCTGCTATGAACGGGCTCATTTAACAAATGTAGTGTTATAATGTAAAGACTGTGATTAGCGCAGTTACATAAATGGATCATCAATGTCTCTTTGGCGTGCATCGAACCTGAAGCGGCGTCCTAGGTGTTCAAAATCAGAAAGCTGACCCACTTAGTCATCCAAGTCACCAGTAACAAGTACGATGTCAGTATCCTACTCCATGCGGAGAAGAGATGAAAGATGGTGGCAGAAATCATATTTGGTACCCTTCGAACTGCAGTCCGTAGGACATAAACGGAGGGCATGAAAATAAACATTGTCTTCACACGGTGCTTATTAACCCCAATAGCAGTACGAAGTCGAAGCGCACACATGCGGCTATTCACCGGTATACATCATGTCTCCTGAAGACGATAGCAACACCGTAAGTACCTCGAGTCATTGACTCGGTAACGCCAGAGACACGAAGAGTGTAATCATTGTCGTCAGATTCCGAACCAGGGGTTGAAGATTTATCACAGCGCTATTATCTTGTATGCGTGTTTCAGAGACACACACATCAATAACAAGAGAGTGAAAGTCAGTGCTGCCTGTTATCCAATCTGACCCAAAGTGCGGACGTTAAAAGAACCAATGTGAAATGAGACCCTTGTTTTGATGGGAGGGCTACATATATCGATGGCAGTAGCTGCGGGGTCAGCGAGTTTTTTGTCCAGTAGACAGAGAAGAGAGTTGAGAGAAGAAAGAGAAACAAAATGAAAAGGGAGTATTGTCGACGAGATCGAGAGGGCAGATGATACTCTTTGGTTACCCATTCCGAGAGAGGGATGTGTCGGTAGAACAATTGTGGCAATAGATGGACATATAAGTACAATTAGAATGAGAATAATGAATATTATTGTGGTTAGCAACCCAGGTTGTGTCGATTCGAGTAGCTGGACGAAAAATAGGTTTTAAAAGCAACTCTGTGAAGTACATAGATCTAGTATTTTCGAGGCTTTGTGACGAATTCGCATTTCCGTACGGCTAATGAAAAAATGCTAAAGACCACTAGCGTGGTCAAACGTTTTTGAGAATATGACCTGAGCAAGCAAACGGAATAGGCTATTTAGGGGTATTACCATCGCAGCTAGTTGAAAAAAATCCCAAGTCATATCACGACCCGACATCTTAGCGATTGGATTGGACAACATGTAATGATTCACATGTTAGCGACGAAAGAGAAATATTCAGCACTTGACCGCGAGTAGCGGGAAATCTAATATGGTTGGTCGCCTGTGCGCCTCTGCTCTGAAGAGTAAATATGTGGTCAAAGCAACCACGATCAGGGTGGAAGTCAGTCTAGTTTTCAACGATTCGGTTTTCCCGAGGACCACTAAGTCATCGAAGAATGGTCCCTGTGAGAAGTTTGGACGCACTCGAAATAAGGCTAATATCCCGATGATTTTCGCACAAGTGCGCCGACTTTTCTTGAAGATGAGCACCACAATTGACATTCGCCAGTCCTAAGGCACTTCTTCAGTGTCTCAAATCGTGTGAAATAGAGAAGCGAGTCCAGTCAACGAAGAGCCGCAACTATCTTATAGCAAAGATGGAAAGTCGTCGGGTCCAGGAGCTTTGTTTCGTTTCAATACGGAAATCTCATGTCGAATCTCTTCTGAATTGGGAGATGTGACATCAACTTTCCAAGTCGGTTCAGGTGATCTAGCAAGTGTCGGTGTCGCAGTAGGCTTGCTGAACTGCTTTTCATAATGCTGCGCCAAACGGGCTAGTCGACGACGCTAAGAATGGATCATCACTCGTTCATCATTCGCAATTATCGTCTCACTAACTGAGGGTATTCTCGGACCCGTGTTCCGGATGAATAGAAATAGCATTTGGCTGTTCCAATAACGCTGGATTTCTCCATCTCACGGGTAATTGCCACCCACCTACTTTCGCGGTCAATTCGAAGACTCTTTGCGATACGCAAGTTCAGAGAGTTACGGGCACGCTGAAATTCATTTCCCGTTGGTATCTGTTTCCGTACTTCGATCAGTTTGACCGAAGCCTCAGAGATCCAGTTCCAGTTACGACGTCTCAAGTTTGGGTAAGGAAGACGTCAAAACTTCCTTTATGGCACACTAAAGACGATTTCAGTCAGCGTTCTGCTCACCAATCTCATTCATCAATGATAATTGGTGGGCCAGTTCGTCAGTATATTGTTGAACTGCAGACTGGGAGTTCAAGTTACGGGCAAGAATGTCATAAGTAAGGCGCTTCTTTGAGGCGGGAAGAGTGAGCGACAGGCTTGAGCGTATTAAGACATGGCCAGGATCCAGGCACGTGCTGCAAATTGACCGACCGTCTTGGACTGATGTGCGCCATCTGTAGCTGATGTAAATATGGTCAATTTTGATCCAGGTCATCGAAGAATTCGGTGGGCGCCAGATGACGCGACGCCGTTGTATTTCTGTTGACAGTACAAATAACCGATACAGCCACTTGGGTCACGGTCCGGCTACCTCCAAAATCCGAAGACACAGGGCCTTTGATAAAACATATATGCAGCACCGGGAAGACAGTATATACAGCCAAAATACAGGGTCAAAATAAATAGTTCATGAGATAATGACCTAACTGAAAGCTCCTGATTTCTGGCAACTACTAGATGCACTCACTGGATGGCTTCAAAGTGGGTCATTCACATTGGTCCAATCAGCTGCAGGAAAGTTGCAAACAATCTTCTCCGGCCTCCTTTAGAGAGAGCTGACTTCGAGGGCTGCTATGAACGGGCTCATTTAACAAATGTAGTGTTATAATGTAAAGACTGCGATTAGCGCAGTTACATAAATGGATCATCAATGTCTCTTTGGCGTGCATCGAACCTGAAGCGGCGTCCTAGGTGTTCAAAATCAGAAAGCTGACCCACTTAGTCATCCAAGTCACCAGTAACAAGTACGATGTCAGTATCCTACACCATGCGGAGAAGAGATGAAAGATGGTGGCAGAAATCATATTTGGTACCCTTCGAACTGCAGTCCGTAGGAACATAAACGGAGGGCATGAAAATAAACATTGTCTTCACACGGTGCTTATTAACCCCAATAGCAGTACGAAGTCGAAGCGCACACATGCGGCTATTCACCGGTATACATCATGTCTCCTGAAGACGATAGCAACACCGTAAGTACCTCGAGTCATTGACTCGGTAACGCCAGAGACACGAAGAGTGTAATCATTGTCGTCAGATTCCGAACCAGGGGTTGAAGATTTATCACAGCGCTATTATCTTGTATGCGTGTTTCAGAGACACACACATCAATAACAAGAGAGTGAAAGTCAGTGCTGCCTGTTATCTAATATGACCCAAAGTGCGGACGTTAAAAGAACCAATGTGAAATGAGACCCTTGTTTTGATGGGAGGGCTACATATATCGATGGCAGTAGCTGCGGGGTCAGCGAGTTTTTTGTCCAGTAGACAGAGAAGAGAGTTGAGAGAAGAAAGAGAAACAAAATGAAAAGGGAGTATTGTCGACGAGATCGAGAGGACAGATGATACTCTTTGGTTACCCATTCCGAGAGAGGGATGTGTCGGTAGAACAATTGTGGCAATAGATGGACATATAAGTACAATTAGAATGAGAATAATGAATATTATTGTGGTTAGCAACCCAGGTTGTGTCGATTCGAGTAGCTGGACGAAAAATAGGTTTTAAAAACAACTCTGTGAAGTACATAGATCTAGTATTTTCGAGGCTTTGTGACGAATTCGCATTTCCGTACGGCTAATGAAAAAATGCTAAAGACCACTAGCGTGGTCAAACGTTTTTGAGAATATGACCTGAGCAAGCAAACGGAATAGGCTATTTCGGGCTATTACCATCGCAGCTAGTTGAAAAAAATCCCCACAAGTCATATCACGACCCGACATCTTAGCGATTGGATTGGACAACATGTAATGATTCACATGTTAGCGACGAAAGAGAAATATTCAGCACTTGACCGCGAGTAGCGGGACTGCGAATAGCGTTGATTGTCAGGTGAGAACAGTGACAAGACGCTGTTGTCACTAAAACAATTAACTCAGTCTCAAGAAATGCAGTGAGTTAAATGCTCAGCAAACAGCTTCACCTAAGTCATAGGATAAAAATGCTCTGAAAACGGAATAGAAATGAGTGATTGCGAGTCAGCCTCGACAGGTGCTATCCAGCTGTTATAGGCGATCTCTGTGCAATGACAAACGTTCAAGCACTCTAGGATGCAACTGATGGTCAGTCGCAAAAGAACGCCTTAGTAGCAACGGTCCTACAATATTCATTTAGGTCACAATGCAGAACAAAACAGACGCACCGCTTCGATCTCGTCGTGAGTGACCGCAAATTTCGACGCGCAACCCCAATTGTATGGTGCTTCGGGATCATCCTCCCCGGTGTCGCCCGAAAGAGTATCCATAGGGTCAGCATCCCAAGGATATACCGGGGGGTCCCATCGCGTCTGGCGAGTCCGAACATGGTAGTAGTAATAGGCGTACATGTCCGAAGACTCTCGTTCCACAGAGTCAACTCTTTTATCACTCGAACTCGAAGGATGCTTAGTATTCAAGGCGCGTTGCCATCCGGGTGGTAATGGGCTTGTCCCATCTTTAGATAAATGAAGATGCAACGCCGGTGGAGGTTCCCGATCACGTGATTCCATACGCTTCCGCTGTTGGCGAAGTTGGGAAAACGTGGTCTGTGTGGAAAAATAGAGTAAATGCTGACGTTCTCCTTCTGTGTGTGACAAGATACAACGGGCAAATTGGTTACATCGTAGCGCAGTCGACATGGACACACAGACAGCAGCTGTAAACAAAACGCAACACCAACTAGTGAGAGGCATCAGCAGCACACACCGATACACCGTACACTTCGCTGCCAAGCGACCACCATCACGAGTTGCGTGTGGACAGGGGGCATTGTAAGGTCGACTCGAACCGGAGATCACAAGATCACACAAGGCAGGCGCCTTATCCTTTTCGGCCATCGGCTGCAATACCAGAGAAAAGTTCTTATTCCAGTATACCTCAAATGAGTTCACTAAAACCCCTTGAATTGACTTTTCCCACTTCGCATAAGCACAGTAATAACTTCCAAAGTGGATGATACAAACAGAAAAGTGTCCATTATATAAATTACAAGAGGGCTGCTGGAAGATGTGCTTGACCAGGTTTAGCACAGCTTGCTAAGACACGCAAAACCATTTGGAGCTCCTGAAGGTTAAGTTACAATGATTATAATAAATGGCCAATATCAGTGAATCCGACGAAACATAAACCGAGTAAGCTCACTTTGGTTGTTTTGTCAGCGTCTGCGCCAATGAGCTGGTTGCTGAGGGATGATGTGTGTGGAGAGGATACTGGTCTGTGGAGAGAAGTAGACATGAACAGTTAAATCAAAGGAATCAAGATGCTGGAGTGATTTGAAATTCTGTGCGCCTCAGATACCGCTAAAAGCAGTGGCCAATGTTTAAATGATTGGAAACCTAAACAGGCAGATGCGCTAACCGCAAAAAAATTTTACGACAGCAAAGAAGCAACCTCACGTGTGAGAGAACGCAAACCAAATGAGTATGTAGCAATTGGGTGAAAAAAGACTTTCGAAAAAGATCCAATTGAACTAGTAAAAAGAAGTGCTGCATATCTGTAGAAGACACGAAGGCACAGAAGTCACTGTCTTTACTATGTTCGCAGAAACGCCATGGACTTAGTTGCAATGAAAAGCACTGCCAAAATGAAAATTAAAAAGATATAAATGGACATTGGATAAAAGTGTCAAGATAAAATTTAAAAAATAAGCTTGAGACGGAAATGCTATGAAACATCATCAACATCACCATCATAATCATACACGCCAGCTGGAGGTGTAAAAGACCTCAGCTATGGTGCCGCAATACATAAAAAAAAAGAAAAAAGTGAAAAACAGGCACGACAGTTAAGTCACTCGTAAAGGATGAACATCGTTCCGGAGAGCTAAAAGCTAGTTATTGTGCCGCAAAGTCATATAATGCCTATTAATTGAAATCGTGGTTGGAGGGGAGAATAACCGGAGGGGGACGGACAAAAAAACGCATTACACAAACGCCAATGGAGTCTGGTCTTAAGCCGTGTTAACAAGTGTATCCAGACAAACGTGTTCATCGTCCTTTAGCTCCGAACTAGGGAGCCGAGAGGCTCCAACCGATGCCAACTTCGAACTAAGGGCCTTCATTTCTCTTGACCAAGTCATCGCTCGGCCACCTCTCCTGTTCTTCCATTCGCACCCCTGGCGCCTAGACAACGCATGAGCTGGCATGCGCAACGCGTCGCTCAGTCATCGGAGCCTGGTGCGTGAAAAAACGGTGCTGATCAGTTCATTTCTTTTCCCTATGCCATAAACAAAGCGTCGAACATGCCCATTGGTTACGCGGTGTTCCCATCAGATGTGAGCTAAATTGCGAAAGTACCGGTGGTCGAACGTAACTAGCCTCTTATGTCCGCTGATCTAAGGGGCCAGGTTTCACAACCAAACAGTAGGGTCGAACGTACCGCAGCATTGTATACCCTACCCTTCAGGGAGAAAGTGACGTTGCGCCGGCGCCCTAGGCAACAGAAGTTAGCAAAAGCACCTTGAGCTTTTTTTATACGGTATTGTGACCTTGTCTTCGATTCCAACGGCGCTAAAGCTATGGGTGCCGCATTCCGAACGCGAGGGTCCTTTCAAGATCGGGACAATAACGGAGCAGCTGCAGTGGTTTGGGACAGTTTCCTGCTCCCAAAGTTTCACTAGTAATTCGTGTAAATCATCAAGAGAAGTGGCCTCCGAATTTAAAGTGGTCTGGATGAAGATCAACTAGTCCCACAGTTTTATTGCACTTCAGCAATCCGATCTCACCTCCGACTTCTATGCGAGACAGCGGATCCAAAGGGACGCCTCAGGGAGCGGGGCGATCACTGGCCGGTGAGGGATCTAACAATTCCGGTAAATTTAATTAATTTCCAAAGTGCTCAGCCCAACGCTCCAATCGTTTTAACAAGTTGTGGATAGGCTGTCCACTTTCGCCACGTATAGATCCACTAAAACACCAGGTTCCCTGCTGCCCGTTTCCAGTATCAGCCGGAATAACTTACGATGGTTACTAAGGGCAGGCGCCACGATTAGACCATTAGGATTCGCGATCTCTCTTTGGTCTAACACGGTGCTTTGTCCGGAGTTTTCTGCGTGCCTCATTGCGTTCGCTTCCAGTCAGAATATGCCGGCGAGCATCGATAAGTTCCAGAGACTGCGAAGAGACCCAATGTCCATGTTGGCGATTAGACTTACCAAATGAGGATTTTCCTGCTGCTAGTAAGGTCTGGTGAATAGGAGACCAGTGAGCTTCAACTGTATCCAGTGTGCTCTTACTCAACTCAATTGACAGCGTACTTTGATAAGCATTCAGAAAAGCAGGCTTCGTCAGTTGGCTGGTGACAGTGCGCTTACAGCGTCGTCGTGCGTATCCGTAAGTCAGCATACACAAGTGCATGGTCGATGTCCACACATATGCTCAAAATCGAGAGACGGTTCTGGGCGCATCCTTTCCAGCGGTAACTTATCGCAATGTGATTGATTTGCGTCCATAGCTGGTTCGAGGTTGGTGGGCGCCATGTCACCTTCCGACAAGTGCTGTGTCGGAAATTAGTGCTCGCAAGATATAAGCGAGCATCTTCACACAAATGCAGTAACCGCCCACCGTTATCATTACGGGAGCCTACACCGTGCTGGCCACCCACATGCAGTTTAACAGTGGACAATCTTCCAACTTCAGCGTTCAAATGCCCTGCCAGCACAACAGTGTCCGTGCTTCTGCTGTGGAAAAGGAGCTCGTTCAGTCGAGGATAGAAGTCGTCTTTCACTGAATCATCGTTACAGTTTGTGGGGCGTAGGCAGTGATGATAAACAGACACCTATTAGCCACGCGCGACTTTGAACGAGCCAGCCATTCGGACCGCATATATCCGGTTACTGATTGGGATCCAATCAATCAAGGTAGCTTCAGCCCGGGGACTAAGTGCAATGCCAACCAAATGTTTACCAAAGCATGATGGGAGAGGGCCAACAATTGGGAGTTGAAAACGGGGGCGATAAAAGTGAAGTTGGAACGGGACTATAAGGGCGAAAAAGTGTAAGAGGGGGAATAATAAGACGGGAAGACTTGAGCAGTAGCATTCAAACCCCTATCCACCCTGCTCGATGCAGCAGGTATGGCACCGTTGATTATGCTCTGCGGTGGCCAGAGCATCAGGAAATTGTTTGAGAAAAAATGTATAGTGTTTCGTGCACTATCAAACTGAATCAAACGAAGCGAAGGAAGGTAAGGATGATACCTAAGACGAAACGGCAGGGAAGAAAATAATCCCGCCGACAGGATCTTGGGGACGTATGACACTTTCGGGACACTAAGTTCCAGATAGGTGTTGTTCGAAGGTGCCAATTTCTAGTCTGATCTAATCTAACCCACGTCGCAGTGGAGAGTATCTTCAGTTCCAAAAACAGAGCTCACAGTTCCAAATGGGGCCTTGCATACAGCCTTGAAGGATTTTGATGCAAAGCAACAATGCCAACCGAGTTGAGCTCATTATCAGTAAACTGTTATCTTCTATGGTCGTTTTTGAGGAGAAAGAGCACCGACATTCATCCGATATCCGCCTGACCTCACTGAATTGACTAACTAGTGATTTTGTATGAAAGTGAGGTGGTACTTAGCGAAGCTGGTACGCAAACCATAACACCAAATAAAAGTCGGATCTATTAGCGATAACCCATTCAATGTACCACATATTGATAAATACAGCGGTTGTAACAATGATCACTGAAATACCACCGCCATTCTTGAACGAGGAAGTGAGGTCATCATGTCGAGGCGCACTTAAACGGACCCATCGAGGATACGATTGTGACGTGACGCTTAGGCAAAGAAAAACATAGAGTGCAATCAAAAATGGCATCAGGAGTACGCCGGTACGCAGTACCAACATTTCGCTGCCGCCGAACTTCCACCGGTCGCACGTGGGCTACGGATACTGCGATAGTCACTGCCCCTAGCAGGCTCGACCCTGCGCCGTCAGATTACAAGGCAAGCTCGTTACCTTTAGACTAAGGTAATAAATCAGGCCAACTGAACAGCTCTTGATTATGTCCCACCAGTAGATCTGAGAAGCAGTTAGTTATACAATTTTAAAAGGAATTATATGAGCCTGTCGCGAACCCATGCTTTAATGACTGATTCCCGCTCATTCACCAGTCCTCTCGAGTTATCCTGTAACGCTGCATGAAAAGCCGAGAGTAGTTAGGATATGATGAAGCTGGCTTTTCGAAGGTGCAGCCTCCGTGCCATAAGCATACCATTTGGTGCAAAAGAAAACAGTCATTGAGGGGCGCTCAGCCAGTTAAACAAGCGGCTCCCAAGGTTTTCGATGGGCGCGCTTGAGGTCGACACTAGTCGATTTCTCACTCGCACTCGTCTCGTGTGATTCCGGGAAATTTAAACGAGACAAAATCGAAAACGACTAACGGTCAAATGCAGAAAATGTTGTGAGGGAAAAAGTGAAGTAGGACTGAGAAGACTGTCGGAGGTATGAAAATACCGGCTGATATGTTTTTAAGCATCTCCTGAATCATGGGCTCTCGATCAGCTACGAGCGCATTTCAACTGGTTCCATTTAACTGGTTAGGGGGGAATTAAAGCATATGAATTTGATACAGATATTGGAAAACATGCTGACAAAGCAAACGATAAAAAAGTGCACTGGATATCAACATAAAATCCAAAACTGCCATCAGGTGCACAACGTAGTCCCGAGAAAGAAATACGGGTGTCAGTAGTATGCCGGTGCTCCGCACCGACACTGCTGCCACGTAAGCACTTCCAGTCGCTCGCTATTTAAGGAGCCTGCGAAGGCACCCACACCTACGCAAACCCAAAACGGTAACGTTTAGGCTACACGGAAGGCTTCATTTCTTCGGAACCGGCCGAACATTGCAACACTCAACAAACTGCAAAATCACTAACTCGAGTAGAAATGTTAGCAAAAATGGTAGTGGGAATCAGTAGGGTAAGCATAAAAAACAGTCCTTCCATAATGCGTGTTACAAAAGTCAGTATAGTAAAAATTGGGAGCAAATGCTTTTTGTGGCTTTCAAGTATGGTGTGACGAATAGAATGTTTCGGAAGAACACTAAATGTCAAGTGGCATTTGGTGTACCCGCTGTGGTTGGATTGCGACTCGCAATCTTTATTCAGACCTCGGTCCTCTTTGAAGCAGACCTCGGTCATTACAATCACAAGGATCGTATCCGAATTGGTGGTTCGGTGTTGCTCCTCCCTAACCGGTTTCCTCCTCCTTTGGACTCATCAGATGGAGATAACCTGAGCTGGGGTGCACCCCGATGCCTAGTGTTCAAAGGTTGACGTCTTGACCACTATGGCTCTAAGATGCAATTCAACCACACAGCGGGTAAAACAAATGCCACTTGGAATTCTTTACCGCTGTTCCAAGCGCTGCTCGCGAATCTTAGATACCATAGTGGTCAAGATGTCAACCTTTGAACACTAGGCATGGAGATCCACCCCAGCTCAGGCTATCTCCATCTGATGAGTCCAAAGGAGGACGAAACCAGTTATGGGGTGTCAGGGTTGGGAGGAGAAACACCGAACCACCAACATTAAATGTCACATGCCGAATAATACCAAGAACACATTCGTGATTCAACAGAGCTGCACACCTAGCGCGTATCAAACTCTTGAATAAGGTTATAGCAGTGCAGACGAATGTCGGATATGGATGAGAAGTGGTTGGGAACTCAACTTCGGCACGAATAGAAGGTATGGCAAATCTAAATCTAAAAAACTCGTTACGAATGAGCCTCCTACCCTCTGTTCAGACACGCCCAGGGTTGGGCGTAGACAGTGTTGAATAGTGCAAGCTTAGGCTTGGAAGGAAAAAGAATGAAAAAAGGCACGCAAACAAAATCGGCTGTCGACAATTAAAAACTGTGATAGATGAGGGTCCCGTATGTGAATTAAAGCAATATCAACAAAACATCACCTTTGGGCGTGATTGGAGGGCAGTTGATCAGGTAGTTGACTGAAGGAAGCAGCATCCAATGGAGTGACGGAACCATTGCTGCCGCGATCAACCTTATTGGGGGAAGAGACAGGTGTGTTGCTGAACCGAGAAATCAGATCAAGGGGAGCCAGATCGCTGCCGTCGACCAAAAGATCGATCCCCGGCATGTAAACGAGAGAGTTATCAAATGGCTTGCACAGTGAAAGTTCTGGGTCTGCTGCATCACATGGTACACAGGAGGGGTAGTTTGAGATCTGACCGTGGATAGGGGTCCGGACCCTGTTGAGGTTTGATGGCATCCCAGTGAAGTCGGAATCAAGAGTTCGAAGACTGAAAACCTGTTTCAATTCATCGCGCGTTGCATCAACTGTTTAAATACAGATAGGGATAAGCAAACAAGGACAAGATGCTGGGTGAGAGAGGATATAGTAGAGGGAAACGACAAGTGTTACACAGGCTTTTTGATAATGGTGAGTGAGAACAAATAAGTTCCCTCCGATATTTTATGCTTCAGACAAACGTGAAGAAAGCAAAGTGAAGACCTGATACATATCAAGATATCAAAGTAGTAGGTGAAGAACAGGGCTATCTGCAATTTTGGAAGGTTAGACAGCGAAACAGTACAGTGTAATTAAGTCACGTTTCAGATAGAGAAGAACAAAAGGAAAAATATGAAAACTAACCATATCAAATAGCACAATAAAGTGTAACAGATAGTCGTCGCTGAATAACGCAAAGGAGTCGTACTGTGACGGTTCAATGATGCAGCCATGGCTAAGTCGAAAATACTTCGGTTGGTAATCCCTACGTCCCGAGCTCGAATCGCAATACTGCTGTCTCTCCAGCAGAGAAACGAAAAGAAGTTTGAAACCGGTCGTCGACTGTCATGTTCTGAGATAAGTGCACCCTATGTTTACAATGTATGAAATATTGTTTAAGCTTCACCAGTTGCTGTAATAGCACTACATGCATAAGGAAATTATCTACCAGTTAACCAGCTAAATCTACTGCCACTTTTTGAAAAAGTATGTTGCTGCGCGGCGGTTAATTCCCGAAATGCATGAGCATAATCATACTATGAGCTTCATTCTCGCATAGGAGAGGGCCAAAGATGCCCGAAGGAGGAATTACGACCATTTTTGCAGGAAGTGTAAACGCCATGTTTACCAAAGACGTCCAAGATAAAAGTGATCAATCACTCTCCACATCGACGGAATACTGGTACGATTGTAGACTGAAGCAGCTTCAGATATGTCAAAACGGAAAAACTGTGGAAGATCGTTGAGTTACATGATATTAAATTGATTACTCAGCTAACTTTGCGTCGAGTGCTGCATCGAAACTGAGTGCAAGATTAACTGCGCTGGATGATTAACTTCGAAATCGATATTTAGTCCATCTATCTCGTTTGTCAGTGATAGTCTGCAACGATATCACCCAAGTGCGTTATCAGAGTCCAGGTGTCAAGTGCCGAAGTTATGAACATCACTGAAGTGAAGAGGGCCAAGGTTCCGTATGTATGCAGGTAATCTAAACAGTCTAGCATTCAGACAAAGCCAACAAAAACCACGGAGATTAGCAGATAAAGGGAAGTCACTGCATCATAATCATGGTGGCATAGTAGTTGAAGGTGAGCAACAGACTTCAGCTGTTGTGCCGCAGGAAGAAAGAAACATTTTGACAAAAAGTAGAACAAAACATTTTTGGTTTGTTTTTCACACGCCGATTTTTCTCTTTTTGTGTCATTTTCAATGTTTGTAGTATTAAACATGTGAATCAACACAATACTGCACACAATTCTTCCATTGATTCCGGTTGCGGGCCATGTCTTCAAGAGTGTTAACCCATTGGCACTCCTCATCTTTGGGTCCCCATCCTGGAAGATGTACGGATCCAACAGCGACTAGGCACGACATCAGCGACTTCCTGTTGTCTCCAAGTGGGAGGCGGATCACCACGTGGTCGCCTCCAGCCAGGTCCTTGACGAGCGAATAGAGCGTGACGGGGTGGGCGCTCAGGTGCCATGCACAGGACGTGACCGAGCCAACTCAACTGGTGCAGCAAAACCCGTTTGTTGAAGGGAATACTCGCATTCCCCAAGATGCGACGTCGAATGTCATTACTGTTCACTCGATGTTGCCACCAAACAAGAGCAATCCTCCTTAAGCAACCGTTATCGAAGGCAGAAAGATGACGCATGTCTTCCACGTGAATCGGCCAGGACTCACTCCCATACAACAATACTGAGAGAACTGATGCGCTGTAAACGCGGCCCTATAGCGAGAATGAGATGTCGCGACGACGCCGTAAGTGCCGCAGATTGGCAAATGCTGATCGGGCTTCAGCGATGCGAAGAGAAACTTCTTTGCTGGTAACGCCATCAGCAGAAACACAGCTCTTAAGGTAGACGAAACTACCTGTTCAAGTTGTGCACCTGCGAAAGAGAGCACGGGAGCAGGTGAGCAGTATTTTACACTTCGATGGGGCGAAGCTCATGCCATACTTAGATGCTTCAGCCACCAAACGATCCAGAATGAGTTGCATACCCTGAGGATCGCCGCTAAGTAAGGTGATATCATCAGCAAAATCCAAGTCGGTCGAGCGCTGACCCGGTAGAAGCTCTAGGCCAAAATCTTGAAAACCTAGGGCACTGAACAGAACGTCGTCGATTTCGAAGTTGAAGAGGAATGGGGACATAGGGCAGCCCTGTTGCACACCGCTATTGACAGCAAATTGCGAGGAAAGCTCGCCATAGACCCTCACTCTGCCAGAGTAAAGTAAAGTGCTCGTGAGATGGCGGTATATTTCTCTAGCACCATAAAGCAGGTCGATCGACGGAGTCAAAAACGGCACGTATGTCTAGGAATGCAACGACAGTGGGCCTGTGACAAATGTGGCGAAGTTCGAGGAGTTGGGGGAGCGTGAAGATTTGATCCACGCATCCGCGACCAGGACGGAAACCAGCTTGTTCTTCACGGTAGTGTGATTCATGTACTGGGGATAGTCTACAAGGCAGAATGGATGCCAACAGCTTGGAGACAAGCGAAATAAGATTAATCCCGCGATGATCTGCACATGAAGTGCGAGCGTCTTTCTAGAAACTCGGAACAATAACTGATTCGACCCAAGAGGAAGGCACTTTCTCTTCATGCAAGGGTTTTGCGGACAGCGAGATCAGCTGGTTAACGATCGCTACGCCGTTGTACTTTAACAGCTCCGGAGGAAGTCCGTCTGAGCCGGCAGCCTTGAACCGCTTCAAGCGTCGAATTTCGAGGTAGACTTCCGCTTCGCTGGGTGGATTCAGTGGGACGAGCCAGGGTTGACAACAAGGTGTATTGCATGTACTGATAGATGGTGGAGGCCAGTTGAACTGCGAGTGAAAGTGTTCGGCCCAGCGGTCCATACGCCTCTGTTGGTTGGTGATCGGAGACTCATCCACCTCACAAAATGAGCTCGCTGACACCAGGCTTCCTGATGCCAGTGGACTGATTAAGTTCAAAAAGTTTGTGAGTGTTGCCAGAGAGTGCAGCGGTCTCCAACTCTAAAGCTGTTAATGGGACGGAACCAGCCAATGAGAGCGTTTTACGCTGAGGGCTATTGATTTGGCCATAAATTGAATGTACCGTTAGTTTGGACGTTTAGAAAAATATACTTGCCAACCGTACGCCGGTCTCCTGCTTTGGGAAGTCGGGCTGATCAGAGTGCACGCTAGCAGCAGGTCATCGGTAGGTCAGCCGAAACCATAACATATATTTTTGGCGACGGAAGGTAGTGGATCGAGATGGCAATTTCAACGGAAGACCTGAAAATCATTTTGTTGCAGCAACAGCAGCAATTTGAAACAGCACAGCTGCGTATGATTGAAACCCTCACCCAAATGTTATCTCTGCAGCCTACGGTCGTTCAGAACAATGGGAAGCCTTCGGCGGATGCGATGATCAGTAGTGTTAATGAGTTCATATTCGATCCTGACTCAGGATTAATATTCGATGCGTGATTCAGGCGCTATGAAGATGTTTTCAGGGCAGAGTTGTCAGGTCTCGATGATGCATCTAAAGTTCGCCTTTTGTTACGAAAACTCGGAACGGTTGAACATGACAGATCCATTAACTACATTTTGCCAAACAACGCGCATGATTTCAGCTTTGATGATACAGTTGCTCGACTCACAGCGTTGTTTGGAGACCAGTCGTCTCTTTTCAATAACCGATACAATTGTCTAAAGCTATGCAAAAAGGACAATGACAGTCTTATTGCTCACGCGGCGATAGTCAAACGTGAATGCCAGAAATTCAAACTGAAGTCGCTCACGGAAGACCAGTTCGAGTGTTTGATACTAGTATGCAGTCTACAGTCCCCAAAAGACGCCGAGATACGAACGAGAATACTTGGTAGGTTGGAACGCGACACAGATGTTACATTACAAAACGCCATTGCTGAAGCCCAAAGAATCATGAATTTAAAGCACAATACGGCTATGGTGGAAGATTCGAGAGCACATTCCGCAGATATATCTGTCCAGCAAATTTCAGGAAACAACCCACCGACCGCTCAACCTAGCAGATATCCACAATCCAAACCCCCATCACCTTGCTGGCAATGCGGAGGATGGCATTTTGTGAGATGGTGTCCTTTCAGCAAACATGTTTGTCAAAGGTGCTTTAGACGGGGGCACAAGGAGACCCACTGCAGATTCAAAACATCATTTAGATCGTCATGTGATACTCGAAAAGCAGGTTACCGAAGGTTCGCGACAAGAGTAAACGCCAACTATATGGACGATGTTAAAGATAGAAGAAAGTTCGTCACTATTACCATCAACGGAAGAGTAGCGCGTCTGTAGATTGATACGGCTTCCGATATTACAGTCATTACGGAAAACTTATGGAAAGCTATCGGTTCACCTGACATTAAACCAACTAACCATAAAGCGAAGAGCGCATCAGGTACGAGTCTAAACTTGATCGGTCAGATTGAATGTGAGTGTCGCTTTGCCAACTTCACCGCTTGGGGAACTATTTTCGTCACAACACACAAGAATTTGAACCTCCTTGGATTAGACTGGATTGAGCGATTCAACCTCTTAGATGTTCCCATTAATCAAATCTGTGCAAGTGTACACTTACACAAACCAAAAGTTCCCAAGGCAATGGCAATCGAACAAATTCGAGAGAAATATGCACCTGTTTTCCGTGAGGGACTTGGTAAGTGTACAAAGTTGCAAGCCTCATTGTCCTTAAAACCCGATGCTGTTCCTGTTTTCCGTGCAAAGCGGCCAGTACCTTACGCAGCAGTCCCAATTGTTGACCAGGAACTTGATCGTTTAGAGAAACTTGGGGTTATCTATGCAGTGAACTACTCTTCTTG